TCAGCTACGCAATTACCCCGCCTTGCATCCCTCTTCTCTTTGGTTACTCTGTGCCCTCCCTCATATTTCTGTACATTCTAAATTCTATAAATTCTTGTAGATTCACTATTTCTTCTTGATGAACACCTAAATGCAGCTCTTTTAACCTAATGATTATAAATTCTTTCTCAGGCTTACGTGGAGCCATTGCTTATGCCTTGGCCCTCCATCTGGAATTCAGTGATGAAAAGCGCCATGTAATTGTAACAACAACTCTCATCATTGTGCTCTTTACCATTTTCTGCCTTGGAGGTGCCACTATGCCTGTTATTAAGGTAAGGCTTATGGTGTTCTCAGCAGTTGTTTGCCTTCATTACAGAGGTTGGCTGTGAAGAGAAATGATAAAATAACCAATTCACTTTTTGAAGCATGCATTGATTGCATCAAGAACCTTCCTTGATTTACCTTTTTCATGTAATATCTATATAATTATGTTCTTGCAAAAATCAGCCCAGTGCACTTTGTCCAGCTAGATTTTCTTGTCCTAGAAATTTACATCAGTTGATAAAAAACACAATAACTTTTCCAAAAGTTTATGTTCCGTCTTCATTGGAAACAATGATTCCACTTGGTGAACTAGAACTTCATGATCCCAGAAGGTCTGCTCCCTAGGCTAGTGTTCACAGGAATTCTTGGAGGAATTCTCAGTGATTCCTTACCCTTTAGGAAACTAGTTTAAATTAATCTTTTTAGCAGATAAAAGAGCTGATAAAGAGTGCAGGTTTAGGGCAAATTGACAGTGTATAATTCATAGTTAAACAGTTTGGCCTTGCAGGATAATCCAGCAGTGAGGAATCATAATGGTAGAAGATATTTTTGATTAATGATCTTAACCCATTTGCGACAGATAAAAATGAACAAAAAATGAGGAAAATGCTGTGCTCATATATTTTATATTTTTTTTGTGAAATATCTCTACACTAGATGGCTCTTCCTTACCTGATTTCACCTTTACTTGAATTGGCGGTAAAATGTATTTTTACTAGTGCTATGAATATCGATTGTTATTTTTATTATAAATATTATAATTACTATAATGTTATAAACATTAGTAACAGCAAAGTAAGATAACGTAAAATATTTTCGTAAATTAACCCATTCGCCACACGTGGCAAGAATATATGCCATACCCACTTTGAGACACGTTTATTTATTGTATTTACACATAGATGGCTCCACAAGTTCTTAATCACCAAATAGCCAGTTATCAAGAATTACCTATTTCACCTGTTTACCCTTTTCCGTCACTTTAAGAAAGGGATTTTTGTATCATTTCATTGTCTAAAATATTCTAATGGCTATTTAATAATTACAACATCAGTAACAATAATAACAGTATCGATAGCAATGGTATTAATTTTCCCGCCAATTCAATGAATGGGAAAATCAGGGTTGGTAACTATGGCCTACTGATAGACTCCTTGCCGGCTGAGTACATGTGGAGCCATCTGTATGTAACAAAATTCACCAAAAACTACAGAGGACAGAACATAAATCCGGGGCGAATGGGTTAAAGAAAAGGGTAAACGGGCGAGACAGGCAGTACAAGTACAAGTGTAGCCATCTATGTGTGAAAACAATTAAACAAGTAAACTCACAGTGGGCATGTCACATATATGTGACACCTGGTGCGAATGGATTAATCAGTGATGTAATAATTCCCTAATATAAAAAATATATCTTCTTTCTTCTTTCTTCCTTTTTCATCCTCTTCTTGTTCTTGCTCTTCTATTAATATTGATACTGTTATTATTATTGTTATTGACATTATGATTATTACAATGAAATAGGTAAAATAATAAAAAAGAATCTTTCAGAAAATCAAGGAAAAGGGTGAACAGGTGAGATAGGTAGAACTAATAATCAACTCTGGTGACTTGGCCCTCGTAACTTTATCTATGTGCTACACAATTAATTAATTAGAATTACAGTGGATATAGCATGTATGTCATGCCATCAGAGACAGTGAGGTAATGATGGAATTTGTCCCTGGTAGAAGTTGCAAAGTGAGGCTTGTTTGCAGCTGGGAGGGCAGGATGAACTGCAGAATTGCAGTTCAAGTTCAGTTCACAGCCTCCTTTCCTTCTGACTGGAAATGAATGACCTAAACCATCATACATTTACAGTACCTCAAGGCAGACAAGCGGCAGAAGAACAAAAGGCCCAAAGAACGCGACAAGGAACTCACAATGAGCAAGACAAGAGAATGGGTAAGCTCTTTGATGATAGCAATGACTGCTCAATGGTTTGGCCTTATACCTTCAGGCATATTAGTACATATGGATAGAAGTAGCAACAATAGATATATTATATCCTGAAAATATAATGATATTTGTTGTTGAATATGCAGGTATTTAGATCACTAGAGAATACTTTTTAATAGTTAGATCATAGTTTTATCAATGCATGGTAACATGGTAAGTGTTAATAGTAACCTCAAAAGGATAAACTTAATTTTATTACATTTCATTGCAAGTATAACTGCCAGTGCTGTTGTTATTTCTGATGTTATAGAAAACTCAATGGAAAAGTTGGAATTGAGTTGCCATTAATATTTATTATTTATTATATTATTATTATAACGAAAACACTGACATTTCCATGCCATATGTTTGGGAAGATTCAGCACTATATGTTTTTAAGTTACGGGATATTCAAACTGCAGATCTCTCAACATTTAAATGAAACACGGAGAATTCCAGAGTTTGCAGAGACACAAAAGGCAATGTTATTTCCAGGTTTGAAATACATTTCCAACTTATGTAATATATTAATCAAGTAAAAAAGAAAGCTTTTAAATCCCATCACTGCCAGGTGAACAGAAATCCCTGAGTGCAATAACCTGGGCGTATAATATGAAACTTGTAGAAAGTGTATGCTAATTGACATTACAGAGATACCCTTTTCTTCATGTGAAACAGCAGATTTACTGATAATTGTATTGACTCGGGCATCTGGCAGTGCATCTTGCATCTTCGGTGCAAGTACTGTGGATTTGGATTGAATTTTAACCCGGAATTAACTTTTATGATGCGTACAGGACACACTTATAAATTAATTTTGTTCTGTGTTCTCAATCCATGCATCTGGTGCATGTCCACCATTCACCGCCAAGTTTTGTGTTCACCCAGATATCAGACCTGAGTAAACAGACTATAGTAGTTGAAATGTTTTGCTGAATTTATGGTGATGAAAATCATGATTTTTGGGAAAGAAATAAGATGCATACAATCATATTGAATATGCAGAAAGCTGTATCTCTGATATTTAATTTTGCTTTAATTGAATTTGTTGAAATCTGAAAATCATTGATTTACTTGTTACTTACTGGTTCATACAGAAGTGAGGGACAAATGAAAATATATTTTAGGTAAAGTTACAAGTAATAGATGACAGAGTTTTTGACCACGAAGAAGCAACCAAATGAAATAACAATATTTTGCGACATATGGGATATTTTTCAATTCTCAATGCATAGGGCCTCAAAGATATCATTAGCCTGTTCACAGCAGAAAAAATAAGTGAAATCGTTCATTATTAAGTGTGCTATACAAGATGAAGCGACACGCTATGAAATGACTTCATGACGTCACGTCATCATTGTTGTTCACATAGAATGCTGGGAACGTAAGTGTCTCTTCATCTGGAAAGCCTTCACTCTTAACAGTTTTGATTTTAGTGGTAGGTGTCCACTTAAATAACAATTATCTGCCAGTAGTGGAAGTACCAGCCTTTCATCCCTGGAGCCTTCTGCACTTGCGTATTTAGCAAAAAGCTTGTAGAAAGAAGGGAGTATTACTGATATGTTTTGTAAGCTTGTAAGTCCTATGACAGTACTATACCTTTTTATAAATCAATTTACTTTTGTCAGCTGTTCTTTTCCATCAATTAATTAACTTATTTTTATGGAAAGAAGATTTTTTCTTAGCACTTGTTCTTCTCATGAACAGGGGCAAGCTGTTGATTCAGAGCACTTGTCAGAGTTCACGGAGGAAGAGAGTGACACTCCTGTGGGAACTCAAGTGAGAGGATTCCTACGCCTGGACCTGCTTTATCTCCGTCCATTCCTTATAAGGCGTGTAACTCATCAAGAGGTGAGTTCCATATTGTTCACGTTTATGAAAATTTAATGATTTCAATCTATATCATCTCACTGACATGAGTGATCAAACTTTCATATCGTAATATTCTTGCTTTCAACAGGTGAGATCACATGCTTATGACCTAAAGAAGCAATGTTACCAGTCCATCAATGTACAGCCATCTGATTCAGAAGAAGAGGAACTGTTTTCAGCAACTTAGAGGAGGAGAGATACGAATGAAAATGTAAGGAAAAATGTGAAAACAATGTAGGTCATAAAATGACTTCCATTTATCGAAAGAAGTGTAAATATTTCCTGCCAATAAAGTGCCATGTAATACACAGGAAGTTACTGACTGAAGGGATAAAGTATAGGCACTGTGCAAATGAGCACTTTATGTATAGTCATTTTGTTCACTTACTTTTGTGGCCATGTTTATCATTTGTATTTTAGGAGTCTGCAAACTAAGTCAGCCTTTGTGGAAAGGCATACAAGTGAATCTTTTCTTTCTTTTTAAGCTGTGTCATATTTTAGGTATTTGCGCTGCTGATTCTTGTGACTGCACATGATTGAGTTAGATACAGTGGAAATGATTTTGGAAATTGGATAAAGAAAAGTTCTCTCTATTAGAATGATCATTCTAGACTGAATCATGTAGAATTTCAAAACCAAATTGAAATGTTTAATTTTTTATTGTAACTATTTGGCTAAGATAATTTTTGAAGCATAATTATAAAGTAGGTGTTAAAAGTGCATATTTATTTTATTGTAGATGTTTGTTTTTTAGAAATCCATTTTTTCTTACTAAGGATGATTAATTTCTTTTTGTAATTATGTTATTCAAATATAAGAGGTCAAAGATTTCAGAAAGATGATTAC